GGTGAAAGATGTTTTTAATAGCCTTACTCTTTGTATATTCTTACAATGCCGCTAAGCATGCGCCTCACGCTGTTAACGAATTCGAAAAATAAATATAATTGTTTATTTAAAAAATCCATTCTGAATATAAAGTTTGATGGAAAGTGAATTTTTCTTACAATTATTTTTTCATAAGAAAAACACCCACAAAATTTTGACAATAAAAAATCCAACCAAGGAACTTTCAAGATAGTAGTAACATATATTTACTCAAAATACTGTGAATAAAACAATTATACGAGTTGGACGACATCGATGTAAATCTTCGTTAAATACTACTTTCAAGAAAAATAAGAAAATCATCAAGTGTAGAAATATTTGTTATATTGATATGTGGAGTTTATTCATTCCATTCGATTTCATCGAAATCAATTTACGTCATTTAAAAATCAATATAATAGGTAGCCCCGTGACACAATTAACAACACTAGAACGTCAAAAATATAGGGTCATCAGGTTTTCAAAATATTATATAACTATACATTTCACACCATGGCCCATAAAACGCTCAATAAAACGGGTCTCAATCAACTGAAATTAATTTAGCTAAAATTGTTTAAGTTGCATATTTTTGTTTGTCAATGTTTTTTTTTACCGCTAAAGTTAAGTTTACATTCACAAAATCAGCCATCATAAAAGCTCCTTCTTCTATAATCGTATGTCGCCCCGAACAAAGTCGGGGACGACATATTGCGATTGTACGCATGTTTTTGTTGTCCACACTGTTTCTCAGAGATGGATGTTACAATTTCTGAAACTTTCCTCAAAGGATGACCACTCGTTGTAGTTGTGTTTTGTGGTCATTCAGTTCTAAAAAGGCTACCGTTGCCATGGAAACCTACAAAAAGCGACGAATTTTGTCTGCGAGTGTTCTCTCTGGTCCCTTGAACATTCGTCATGATTTTTTTTTATTTTAGTGATTATTAGTAATTGTAGCTGTGGGAATCGCATTTAAAATTTTCAAATAATCGATTATTGCCCTGGAAACCAGGAGAAAGAGGAAAATATTAAACTCTGATTTTAAATTCAAAGTCCTGAAAGGACTGATACGAATTGATGGTTGTCTAAGCTTAGCTAATCGGTTTTTGTTTTGGTGATACAAAAATGAAAATCTTGTCCAATTCGGGGCGAATACGTTATTGCTTGCAATAGCACACTTTCTAGTTACTTTTTTTTTCTTTGTCAGAAAAAAATGATGATTTCACTGATCCCCAGTCGTTTGTTTACTATTATTTTTATTATGTTATGACATTCATTTTCTAAAAGAATTAAATACTCAAAACTCAGAAGTATGTTTTATTTCAAATAAAACATCAATGGGAAGCAAATTGTTGGTCAGAAATTTTTTGTATCATAAATATGAAATTGATTATATGATCAATGTCTACATGTAGCAGATCTAGAATAAAAACAAATTGCAGATATGAAAAATAGAGTACTTTTTTGATGTTTGATTCAACTTAACTGTTACTGTGTTTCCTTCTAATTGTCGGAGAGTCAATGAGATATGTTAAGCTAAATACCATGCAAGAGCCTTTTATATCTATGCACATATCTTAATTTTTTTTTACTGCATTCAAAAGGTAAAACAGCGTGAGAAAATATTGCCACAGGATGTTTCTGTGTCAAATTTCTCTCCGCGTTAGACTAATAACACAATACAGTAAAACTCGTTTAGTACGAACACGGATATAGCGAATTCAAGGATATAGCGAAGTTTTTCTAGGTCCCCGGCAAAATTCTTTACAAATCCTTGTAAAAGTTTATGGTTATAACGAACTCTGATATAACGAATTTACGGATATAGCGAACTGATTTTGGGTCCCGTTGAAATTAAATATAATGAAATTTACATCTTTTATAGCAAACTTTCAAAGATCTCAAAATTTGATGAATTGAACTGAATTATTTTTGTTCATGAAATTGTATATATAATTCAATTCACAATAAAACCTTAGTTATCGACGGTATGTTTTGTAATATTTGCTTCCCTAACATATTTGGTGGTAATACTTAAAGGAAAACATGCATAATGCGAATTCGCTTCATATGGGTTTACGAATTCGTTATATGGATATAACGAATTACGGATATAGCGAATTAAATTCACAGGTCCCTAGGACTTCGCTATAACCGAGTTTTACTGAAAAAAAGAATGAATTTCCATAAGTATATGAAGCAGAGCCTTTTTACTGTGACGAATTATTAAAAATACATGTATCTATGCCTCCTCCTTCCTTTACTCCCACACACCATAAACACCATATATGTATGTATGTTGAAAATGTATTTTATTGATTAAATAAATCATCATAATCCATCTAAATATGTGATAGGAACAAGTAAAATTATCTACCAAAAAAATTCAGAGGACTGCATGCAAATATAGAGTTCTAAGTTTGAGATAAGCAAATACAAAGAACCGACAAAGGTAATCAAGTACTTCAAAACAAAAACATTCACAAGTGTACTTGTTTTCGCCATAGAATGGTCATACATAAAAAATACCATTAAGACAGACAGACAGACAAGTAAATATACGAGTACACATATGAAATATCCATTGCGTTCATTCATGCCAGTTGAGAAAAAGAGTTTTACTAGGTAATATGAAAGGGACCAAAAAATCAAATCTTATCAATAATTCAAAAAATTGGCAAAGGAGTGGCCCATCAGGGGAGGCGGGGGGGGGGGGGACCTTTTACATATTTTTTTTCTTTGATGCAAGGCTTCATCTATCCGGATGTTTAAAAAAAAGGAAATGCTATCATTCAGCCATTCAAAACTAAGTATTGTTAAGGGGTAACATACGTATGGAATTCCATTTATGTACGACAGCCAACTGCTACTGCCAACTAAACTAGGGTAAAAAGAAACACCGAAAGATATTACTAAATATTTCACACTTGGCAAAAGTTGTATGTTAACATAACTTTCCGTAATGTTTCTAGTATAAATACCGACAAATATTAAAATCCAAGACCATTCTAAAGTTGAGTACTATTTCAGATAGAATAAAACTTAACAAAAGGATGTCAAGCTGTTTCACAGGGGAAGATGTTTTGAAGATAAATTTTCAATTTTCCGTTAATTTTTACATTGACTCAAAATTTACTCTATGTTTTATATACACAGATCTACGAATTAAAAAAAGGGGGAAGTGGGGGTCCAGACCATCTTTTGGAATATGTTCAGTTATTCATTGCATAAACTAAACCACTAAAGTGACCTTGGGTCCTCCCTCTGCTAGAAAACGCAAATCCGTAAGTTGGTATGAAAAGTCATAAATATGAAGATAAGAATATGGAGATAACGAATAGTATTCAATTTCAAAGTCCATTAAACAATACAAAATAGGAACAGAGCAAACATTAGAGGTGGGATCAGGTCCATGGGGGAGTGAGCATCCCCTGCTGACCCGCCGTGTGCTCCTTGTCATGAGCAGGAAGTAACGGAAAAATCCGTCGTCAATTCAGTGTATAAATAATGGACTACCAATAAGTATGAAAAACGTCAGTCAGCTTTGGACTTTATGATAAATTGCTGAAAATGTCATTGTATCGACCATAGAACATGCGAAATAATGACTTTAAACGAGACTGCAGATATTCTTGTTTCATCAACTTGTTTGTAAATAATTTATCTCGTTTTGGAAATTGTTCATACGTAAAGCATGCTCTTGCGTGTCGAATCAACTTAGATATTTATATGCATGCAGGTGATGAAGGTATATTGGTGCATAAGTAAGGGAAGTTGACGATAGAAAAGTTAAAGTCATCACGTTTATCATAAAGCTTGGTTGTTAAATTGCCATTAACGTCTTTTTCAAGTGAAATATCCAATTATAAAACAGATGTATCAGTCTCTGTGGTATTTTTTTTTATTCTCAATCTCACCAGGATATATCGCATCGACGTAGGAATGGAAAATACTATTGTTAATTGACAATACATCGTCGATATATCTAAATGTCGAGTTGAAGGCCACTGCAAGTGTTTTCTTCCTTTCACGCATAATATTTTGCATAAATTCTGCTCCATATGAATATAAAAATAGGTCTGGTATTAGATTGATGAAGCATAGAAAATTAAACACTCCACCCCGTTGAAATAATTTTTCACGTTTTTGGGAAGCAGTTTACTTTTGTTATGTCAAGAAATTTTTGTCTTGGATTTTTTTACTGGGGTTGACCCCTACTGGAAAAATATCTATGATCTGTACCTATTTTTTTTTTTTTTTTTTTTTTAGAAAATTCACATAAATATAAACATTATATAAAAATTTATGCAAATATGCGTAACAGTAAGCAGTGAACAGTTGGCAGTGAGCAGTTGGCAGTCAGCAGTGAACAGTGGGTAGTTAGCATGTCGTATATGAAATTCCACACAAATGGGCATTAATTTTGTTCAGACTATTGAGGCTCCATCTGGGTAACACAATTGAATGAGTCAAGTTGTCGGCATAAATCTTTTTCTTTTTAACATAAATTGCATTTATGTCCTCTCCACACACCATAAACACCATGATATTTTAATGTTATAAATGTATTTTATTGATCAAATAAATCTTGATCAACCGTCTTAACATGTTCCAAATACTTGCTTTAAATTTACTCTCTCTCTCTCTCTCTCTCTCTCTCTCTCTCTAAATTATAAAAATAAGCATTTGTTCGTATTTCTTATTTTTAAAAAATGACATTAATAAAGTATATCAAGAACCCTTATGTTGCACGCATTTTATAATCAATCATCCGTATATTTAAATACACTGTATATTTTTTCAGCAACAACATATGTTGTAGATGAGATAAATTAAAACGCATTTTTTAGTATTAGTATGTTTCCTTTAAATGAAATAAAGAGTATAATAATTGTCTTTCCAAAGTTGGTTCGTGTGCTGAAGACATTTGCATACTTAATTGAATTACATGTATTGTTAAAGATATATAGTTTCCAAATTTCATTCTGTTTTGGAAAGCAGAGGTTACGAGCTTCCTTTGATACGTTCTATACGCTCAAGAATTATTTTATACGCTCTATACAATCTGGATTTAAGCTGAATTCTTTCAAAAGCCCGTAACCAAATAGTTTGTTCAGCAGAATTTATCATCAAAATAACCAACAACAGATGTAAAGTTCTATGAAATAAGGCCGACCAAATGTTATCAAAAAAGTACGTCTTCAAACCTTCGTAAAAATTGAAAGGAAAGTTGATGAGGATTTTGCCGATACCCAATGGCATATAACAAGTAGCAAGCAAAATGTCGTATAGTTCAAAAATAACTATTTCAGCAATTAATCTGTAGATACTTTTGACTGGCATCAAGATGGTTATCAACACAATGTACAAGATTTCCCATATAATAAGAAGTATATCACGGCATGGAGGGTACACCACGGACTGCACAAATCCTGCTGGACTTGGAATGTCGACAAGAATGAAGACAATGATGAGGAAAAATACGTACATTTTATTTCTCTCGGCGTAGTTTGGTGCGTCTTTTGTAATTCCTGCTAAAAATATAAAAAATTGTAACTTTTATTCAGAAATAATAATGTACTTTTGCAGATTTCAAGTATTTTATTATTGCATTTAACAATAAGATATATATGTCAAAAGAGTTTCCTTTCGTTTAATTATGATTTATTTCCACGAAAAGAATTGACATTTCTTAAATTTAACTGTTGATTATACGTGTATTCTTATTAAATTCAAATACAGAGATATTTAAGCAAAAAAAAGGAGAAAAAAATAGTAATCGATATGTTTTTGCATGTAGACTTTATTGTTTGTTCAGAGACTTGAACCTTGGAAATGCAAAAAATAAGAATTTTGATGACTGTAATTTGCTATGAATAAACATGGAAATCGAAATATGTTTGCACAAAATTTGAGGTATTTTCTTTCAAATTCCCTTTTATAAGCATTAAACATTAAGTAATTAACCTGTAGCAGTCGAAGGCACCTGATGGACACGGTTATATGATTTGATGTGCTCTCGACATAAAGGACTGGTACGATTTCTCCAGGCAGAAATGCAGCTGAGGCAATAGATATGTCTACATGGATTGCAGAAGTAGGGGTTTTTAATTCTCTCAAAGCAAACTGGGCAAATGTCCATTTTCCAAACGTTGGATCTTTGGAAAATAGCTACAGAACAGTACGTATGAATAATGAATAATAATACATGTATAGACAATGTTATACAGTCATGTACTTATATGGCGTAAAACGTGAATGGAAAAATAATCGCATATAATTCAATTCATGTGAAAGATCGCAATATCAATCTTCCGCATACATTGCTGTTCTATATAGAAGGACTCTGGCCATTTACTTTTTTCTACAGTCTTTTGAAATTTTGATTATAAATTGCTGAAAAAGATCAGGAGGTAACAAATATAAATCCATGCTACAAAAGAAATTCACTGTATCTAATGTCGTTTTGTTGTTCTCGATAAGCTTTTTAGGATCCTTTATATATATTAACCTTCAGAACAACACTTTTTCACTTAAAAAGAAATAGTTCAATAAGTCAATAAAATATAGCATTATTTTCGTTAAACCAGTAAAATGTGAAGAACTCGTAAGTTGGCAACAAATTCGAATACATAAATTCAATTCGTTTGTAATGTTATATCACTGAAATGATTTGAAAAGCGCCCATGACAAAGGTAAAACATATTGGGTAGTCAGAAGAACTTGATTTAATGAGTAATTCCTTTCTTGATGAATGTATGCATGTCTGGTACATGTATTACGGTGACACATTTTCCATAATATTTAGTTAACAATTTTGCGGGATCAAGGATGTTTTTTCAAATTAAAAGTGAGCAATGTCTATCTGCTTCTCCCTATTATAAAATGCCTAAAATACCTGTGAACTAGGCAAATTAAGAATATTTGAAATATCTTATTTATAAATAATTTAGAATCCAACTTTTTTTCTATCGTAAAATTCCCATTTTTAGCTATATACGAGGGGCATTTCAAAAGTTCTGGCAACTGTTTGATAAAAATTTAACCATTTTACGGAAAGTATTGCGTTTGATATCATTGGAAAGATCATAAAAATATACAAATATTGTGACGTCACTTTGTAATTTTTATGACGCAATAACTCCGAAAATGACCTCACAATATAGAATGTTTAGCATACTGAAAATTCGCGTTTTTTATTTATATGAGACGATCGTAAAAGTGCTGCCAAAGGCTTATTTGAAAAAATATTTTTTAGGAATTTTTAATATGCAAAGGAGAAGAGTAGGACTATGATACTATTTATCAGCAATTATTTATTGTATGGTTTGTTTACGAGCACTGTTTATGTCGGCTTATGCTATCGTCGACATTCAGGCAAGATTTTTATTTACATGATACGGCTGGATATTCGGTCTTTTATATTGCTCTCCGATCCATTGCTTGAAATAAAACATGTCCTGTATTAAACTAAAGTATATTAATGCAGTTTTCATCCAATATATTTTGAGTAATAGGACTCTTACCGTTTACGAATAAAATGCACTAAATAATTGCCCCTGACTTGATTCTGTGCATATTTTTTCATGTTAATTCAACTTCGGCGCCCCAAATCTCACTACTGCTTTTGACTTTTGAATCCAAAAAATGAAAATAAGTTACACAGACATGTAAAATCTTACTTATTTTTCCAGGCATTAAAATTTGCGAATATGTGGAGGTACAGTATGGCTACAACTGCACAGCCGCCATTTCGGATTTTACGAGAAAATATAGGGCATACTAAACTTAACTTCTCTTGAGGCTTCATCGATCCCACAAATCTGGTTAAAACACCTGACAAATTTATACCATCAACTTTTGTAACACGATCGTCTATATCTCTTTGATTGTCAACTTTGTCTTTTTCTCAAAGTTAGGTCTTTTTGACGCAATATTCTGAGCAAGATTCGACAAAAACATGCTAAGTTTGACACTCGCTAAAACCATTTCAGAACAAAACGATCTCTGAAATAGAACACCATATGATAGATTGTAGTCTATGTAAACGTCCACCAACTTGCATTTGCTTCCGTTGGCTTGCGTCCGAGTAATGAGCAAAAGTTGTCTTGAAAATTTTAATTTGATCAAATTGCTCTTTTGTTACGTCATTTTTTTATAGTCAGTATGCTAAACATTCAATATTGTGAGGTCATTTTCGGAGTTATTACGTCATTTAATTATAAAGTGACGTCACAATATGTGCATATTTTTATTATGTTTCCAATGATATCAAACTCAATATTTTTCGCAAAACGGTTAACTTTTTATTAAACAGTTGCCAGAACTTTTGAAATGCCCCTCGTAGATTTGTCAACAGCGTAAATATGATTATATTTATGATTTATATGGTTTATATCTCCCAATAGGTTCGATATATGAAAGAGCAGTGACAACGTACAGGCAATATTTAAAGGACGAAAGCTACTGACACAATAGTTGCTGAAACGGGATCACAAGGCACTTCAAAGTCATTGTGCAGGTCCTATATTTTTGATACAATGAAATGTAATCATATACATATATATACATTTGTGGTATCTCTCCATTATATAAACATACAGAGAGAAAATATCTTCAATTCTGTATGAAGTTTGTCAGAGGTCAGAGGTCAATACCTGACCTAATCACACGGCGCAATAATATCTACCGGTACATAAATTATAAAATGACCTGCTGTACTTGCTTTTCATGTATAAAAATGAAAATAAATAAGCAAGTAATATGATAATTATTTTATTTACATTGTAAACAAGTATTTCATACAGTTTATTGGCTATCGATTCAACCTGTGTATATTGCGAAAACCCCCTAACGTTTGTTTACAATTTTCACTTTTGTCAGCTGCACAGTCCCTAACGTTCATCCTTTTTTTAGGTAGACCTTTCGTTAAATTTTCATGATAAACTATTACTTTATCTTTAAATTCTACTCACAATAAATGTGTAAATCTGTTGGAAAATATTATTGCAATCATGCCATGAACCGCTGCCAAAAACCTCGGCGTTTTCGTAGAACTTTCAATGTAAAGCTGTCGCCAGTGTCTCCATGTTTATCAGTGTTTAACGATAGGTATGCCTTTAGTTACTGAAATCTTAGAATGTTTTTGATCAAACTGCAAATTAACTGGCTCGGACAAGTGTTTCAATCCATCGAATCCACCCATCCCTTTCTGGCGACCGAAATTCCTCCAACTTTTTATCATCAAACTTCGGAGGTGTTTCTTGTGTCTTTTCAGCATCGATTATCAATTTTCACGAATAAAAATATTCCCAGACAACAATATGTTCACTATTACTGATCACAAGTAGCCCTTCACAAAA